ATGTGCTCCATAAATATTTGTTGACTGAATGAATAAGTAAATGAGAGATGTGAATTTCAGGGGAGGGGGTAAGGAAATGGGGGGAGATCAGAGTGAGAGGTGCTAAGAAAGGGATGGATGAGTGGGAAGTGAGAGCATTCTACACTGAGAGAAGGAACTGATTACTAGTCCTAAACTAGAGCCCAGAGATCAAGGGGTAGGAAGATACTGGGCTCGGAGGCAGGGGGCCAGTTCATGCAAGGGTGTGGAGACAATGTTAGGGATTTGAAGCTTTATCCTAAGAGCATTTTTTCATAACTAGACTTTTCCTCTGATTTTTATTGGCACTGCTTAGTGTCAGACCTTCATTCTCGCTCTTGAACTATTGCTTTTACTGTTTTTTCTACATGCAATGTTGCCCTTTCTAATCCATCCTCCACACTTGTTTTAGTGATCTTGTAAAAAATACTTCTTTGATTATCTCATTTACTTGCTTAAAAATCTTTCCATTTCTTATAGCAGGAGTAGGCAGACTTTTTCTTTGAAGGGCCAGATAGTTAATGTTTTAGGCTTTGTGGATTTCACATTTGGTCTGTGTCACATATTCTCCTTTGTTTTTTTTTTTTTCCCCCAACCATTTAAAAATATGAATTTCTTAGCTCAAGGTGCTGTGCACAACAGTTTGGCCCTGGCCATAGTTTGCCAAACCTGGCCTCATAACCTCAGTGGAAGGGATGGGGGTTGAGGGCAAGGGTGGGAATTCAAAGTCTCTACTGTAGTATTAAAGGCCCTTCAAGATTTGCTTAGCTCTCTGGCTGTCTTCACTTCAGACTTGTATCTCACAGCCATCAGAAGTTCTTGGAGATCCCTCAATGTACTCTGCTTTATTATGCCTCAGCCATGCTGTTTCCTCTGCCTGAGAGATCATCCCTAACTGGCCGATGCCTTTTCCTTTGAGAAGATTCAGCTCAGGCATTACTTCCTTCCTTCCTAGGCCCTCTCTAGGGTTCATTAGAAACTTTTCTTAGTTAGGCAATAGAAAATCAGATAAATTAAAGTTTAAAAAAAAAGGAATTCAGACTAAGGATACAGGAGATTTTCATGGGACCCAATCACAGAAAGCATAGTTGGCCATCACAGGAACCACTTTCTCTCCGCTGGGATGCATGGTTTCTCATCTTATTTTTCTGTGCCTACTCCATTCTGACTTTCACTAATTCCTTACCAGTGTTAACATGCAGAAAATGATTCTGAGTATGATTTTTACTCTCTGGTGCCCACCTCTGTTTGACTAATTCTTTTTATACGCTTCCTGAATAGATAATCTGATTGGCTGAACTTGGTCAGGTATCTACCCTGGTTCACATGAGGCAGATATGTTAGGGTCATGGCTATATAGGATTGCCTTTCGCTGAGCTGTTGCCAAGTCAGGCTCTCCTGATTAGAATGTAGATGCTTAGAAGAGATGATCAGCTCCAGTATAGTCCTTCTCCCCGGTGTTTCCCACAGCGCTTGAGTGTATCTTTATTATGGTATGTGGTGGTGGTGTTGTTACGTGCTGTTGAGTTGATTCCGACTGATAGTGACTGCTCGGTCCTGTGCCATCCTCACAATTGTTGTTATGCTTGAGCCCATTGTTGCAGCCACTGTGTAGTGCCTTCCAACCTGAGGGG